CAAACATAACAGGACAAACATAATAAAGACCATCCAGAATATATGGATTCTTTTGAATATTTGGATGAAAATTTTTTGTAGTACACAACTGCCTGAAGCCTAGAATCCATGGACATCACCAAATGCTGTGTTTCCTTACTTGCTCTGTCGGGCCTTTATTGCAGCTGAATCCAGTTGCTGTTTGTTTGTGGGTCTCTATGAATTCATTTTTGTATTTGATAATTGAAACGCTGTTCTAATGGGTTGGGATGAGATGGTCATTGAACAATCTGCATCGGGAAGCTCTTGGTAGCTTCTGCAGTTTGCTTTGGGTCAAGACATTTGGTTGAATCTGATCAGAGCACACACAGCACCATATTGTAAACCCTCTGCACTTCCATCCATCAAGGCATCTTTAGACTGTAGACTTTGATGATGATAAGCATACGTCCACAAGGGTCGAGGTGTGCCTCAACTTAGTTAGACGATGTGACGTTGACCATTTAGTTGTCTTCTGGGGTTTTTTGGGCCTTTTTGTTATTGCTGAGCTGGTCAGTTCATTCAATACATTTAAGTTTTTCTTTTAGGTTTGATGAAGTGTTAAGCAATGAAGTGTTAATGAAAAGGATCAGAACACAATGCAAAAATAAAGGCAGAGCCCTGTTAATTTGATTTTGTGTTCTGTTTTGGTACCATTTTTTAATAAATTTGTTTGATTTGCCTTCTAAGAGGAGCATTCAGTTTAGGTAAATGAGGACCATTTTATATTGATGCCAAGATTTTTACATTAGCAGGAATGTCACACAACATGATTGTAAAAGCAGAGTTATGCTTATCTGACAATGAAATAAAAATATTTTTAGGAGCCACTAAAGTAATCGTGCAGGACTATATAACACTTTTATTAAACCCAATGAATTAAAGCTGAACGTCTGCAGCTCAGTCACACTCTTATCATTTGGTTTAATTCCATTGTGGTGGTGTACAGAGGCAAAACCACAAAACTTTTCATTGTTCAAAACCTTTTGGACCTGACTATTTGCACACGGGCGTCCTCAAACCAACCTTCTGTTTGACAGGTTTGGCCAATGCCTGCTTTGCCTCCCGGGCTTTCTTGATGTCCTCAGGTGTGAGCTTGGCTACAACAGTGTTGTGGCGAGACCTGCTCTGGAAGTAGTACCGGTGGAGGGCCGAGGTGTTGTGAAGGAAGCGAGCACCCTGCCCAGGCCAGCCTGCGCCGCCTCCTGCCATTCCTGATTTAGGAGATACCCCTAATGCAGAGAGAAGAAAAAAAAAATACAATACTTAAGGGCCAATAACTGGCTGAAATATACACGCCACGTGGTATGGAGGCCTTAAGGATGCTATTTTCTTTTTTTAAAATGTGTATTTGTTAAACTTAAAAAGACCAGTACCTAAATAAATGGTTTCTTTATATTTGTTGAGGCAAACATTCTGGATAAAAAGGAGCAATGCTGGAAACCAAACAATACCATTTCTATATTCTTACCGTAAACCTCTGTTAGTGCATCCAATATTCGATAAACACTCAGTAATACCTGTGTGCATCTGTGCTGCAGGTCCCGTTTCTGTTTGGCTGTGCTCCCCTTCAGCAGGGGGGAAATGGGACCCCACAGCCCATTTGGCTGCTTCTTCAGGGTCCATATTCTCCCAGCCCTCCGCATCCGGAAACACATCCTCCTGTACTGACTGCTGCTGCTGCACAAACACACACACACACACAAAAAGAAATTGCTGAGTGAACTATTGTAGTGCCGGTTTAGGGAGCAGTGTAATCCAAGTTTTTGTAGCTATAATTTGCAGATTGTGGGTTTGCAGCCCTCTCTCATTTAAAAGAGCATCAGTAAGTGACTGAAGTCATTATTTACAGGTAACAAGACAAAAAATATACAATGACATGTCAAGTTTTAGCCTGTCAGATGAAATGTTGTATAGGTTAGAACTTTTGCTTATAATCAGGTTCAGGTTAGGTTAAGAGTTTGGCACTTTTATCTACCCCTTCAGAAGTAAAAGGTTTGGGAATACAGAAATGTCAGTGAACAGTCTCACAAAAATGTGAGTACCTATATGTCTGCCTCTTCCGCTACACACAGATTGAAGCAGGCAGCAACCTTTAACTAAATGGGATTAAATCAGCTGTTTTCAAGACAAGCAAAGAACAGAGTGTTTTGTTTATTTGTTTTTTAATTATGACATTAATGGCTCCTTTTATGTATGACTTGTTTTGCATTTAGAGCTTATTTTTTACTTTCTGCTTATTTTTCAGTTAAATTCACCTGACTGCTGCCACCCATAAATGTGCCAACCAGTGCTTCTACCACATCCTGAGCAACTTTGACCCCTGCTCCCAGGGAAGAGTTGCAGGCCATTAATTGGAGCTGCTCGCTTTGAGTGGAGACCAGTGAAGAGCCCACTTTACCAGCTCCTCGCAGCACCTTCAGGACTTCTGACAGCATCACTTCAAACACAGAGGAGGGAGAGAGGAGGACTCAAGTTACAGGTTATGAGACGTTTGAGTGACAATACAGGAAAATGCCAGCATACAAAACAGCAAACACACACACCATACTCTAAAATTGATAATTTATAGAAAATGTAGACGTTTGAGACCTCAGATATAAATGTAAAAGAAATAGTTCTGGGCAAAAACTGCAAGATGATCATCACCCCGTTTAACCTTGAATATGCACACCTGCTCATTTTATAAGAGGGAGGTGTCACGTGTAGCCTCCTAAATGTAAGCCACACCACATATAGGCAAAGTATGTTTGCAAGAAATGTCAGAATTAAAGAAAACGACATATGCATCCAACTGGGAATGTCAACTAGCTATTAAGTTAGCTCCTGGTGTTATCCAGGTTGTGTAACTCGCAGACTAGCTAGCTAACGGTATCTAAATTAGACCCAAGTTAACAACAGGTATACGGAGAAGTGCTGAATGAAAACAAAATAATGTTCCCAAATTAAGTAACTCACTTTTTTCCTATCGCTATTTTTCCAGGTTTATCTCAGTGGCTGCCCACTTCCACGAGTGCAGAGTGGAATGATCTATTTTGCAACGAGTCGACACCCGGAAGTTAAAATTTGACTAACTTGACTGCGAACCAATCACAGGGTGAATAGGCGTGAAGAAAGACGGGAAGCGTATTCGTTTAACGAATGGTAGTGCAGAACGCCAGCCTATAGGAAGGTTGTATCTGAACAGTCTGTCCAATTACAAACCGTATTAGGCGGGACTGAGCGGAGCAGCTACCAATGAGAAGCAGGGGTGTCATGCGTGTAGTTATGGTTACCAAACCGGAGAATTGAATTAATACGCAGACGTTTTCTTTTCATTTATAAAATTCAGGTAAAGTTGAGAGATTTTGTTCAAAGTATTTGTCCTTTTGTCTGTTTGCACCTGCCTCACCATTATCTGCCATAATATACTGACCTTTTACACATATATGTATATACTTCTTCACTTTTTCAAATATCAACTTAAAGATGTTCAACACATTGTTTTTCACTTCTACTATTCTTTAGAATGAAACATATTTATTACTGTAACCAGACTGCATTTATTTAGACATCAGTCATTACTTTATGGTTGAATTTTGTCCTTCCGTGAGGCTGACATACAGTACTGCTATGGGGCAGTCAGGTCTCTTCATGCGTGTAAATGCAGAGAGAAGGTCTTTCTGCAGTGTGAATCATTTGGGGGGTTTTTCAGCTAGTTTTCATTTTGGTATTTATTTATGACAGAATTCCCATGGGCCTCATGATCCCTCTTGTGTCACCACTTTTATGTTTTTTTGTTATTTATTTATTTATTTTTTTCTTACAACCAGCATTTCTATTTTACACAGAAAAAAGGGAATCCAATGAAAAATCTGACGTTACATTATGGATATAGAAAATGTTCCTGCTGTAATTATGGGTGGTCTATTGATCAAGTGGAGCTGCTGTGACAGCTGTTATTAGGCTGACACTGAGAGTTATTGCACATTTTATGAAATTGCTGGGCAGTAAAACTTTATGCTCTGTATTAACTAGATCTGTATAATTAATAAAAATGATTAAAAGTTAAATGTTTTAACTATGGTCCTGATCCAGGCTGGTAAACAAAATTGCAGATCGTGAGAAATAGGTGTAGTGGATTATTGAAATATGTCCAAAAATAAATGACTATAAGCCAAAAAAAGACTGTACAATTCTAATGAGTTTGAAAGCCAATATTTGACATGATCACCTTTATTCTTCAACACAGTCTGAACAGAATGTCTTTAGTCTTCAGGAATAGTTCTCCAGGCTCCTTGAAGGACATTCAAAGCTCTTCTTTGGATGTTTCTGCACTTTGTTGGCATCACACGCTATATTATGCCTGTCAAACTGTATTATCTTTCATTTTTCATAGATTCAACTAAAACTAGTAGTGTTTTTTGCAGACTGCTTGTAATAAAGTATCTAAAGATATGATTTAAAATTGCTTATTTGCTAAATTGTCTGCTATGTCTAGACACAACACTGGTTAATCCCTTGAGTTTGGCACTTTTTTATGCTTAAATTACTCAGTGTTTACTATCTTAACAAAACAAAAACATCCCTAATCACTGCACAATAATACAATAAAAACTGTTACCACTGATTAACTTTAAATAACAAACAATTGGTTCTTTTTATAGATATGGATATTTTATGGATAGTTCTACTACCTGATGAGTTACAGTTTAAGTTACACGCTGGTATGTCACTGGATGCTGTCACATATATGATACTGGCATGATATGGTTCTACTGGTCCACCGAGACTGAGACCTAACCCATCACCCCAAACAGTTGTGGCTGATGGCTGACTCAACCTGAGTCTGGTTTTGCCAGAGTTTTCTCCTTGTTATAAATGGGAGTTTTTCCGTCCCACTGTTGCCAAGTACTTGTTGTTTGGTGCTATATAAATATAATTGAATTGAAAGTAATTGAATTAAGATAGAAAGGTCACTGAAAATTTATATAAAGCTGCTTTGAATAGACCTGTGATGCAACATTTCTGGCCCAATAGAACGACAGTGCCCCAATCCATAGGACCTGAAAAGTCTCTGAATGGTTTGATGAGTGTGAAAATCATGGAAATCATATGATACAGCCTGTGCAGTCACCAGATCTCAACTAAGCTGAACATTTATGAAAGATTTGATCCCGGGGGTAAACAGTACCATAAACCATATCATCAAAACACCAGTATGTCTTTAAACAGTGTTTTCCAATGTTTCCAAGTAGGTTACCAGATACTTGGCCCAACAAGCAGTATAGCACAGATTAAGTCAAAGCATAGTTGTTTTTTTGTTTTTGTTTTTTAACATTGATAGTGATGACATAAGCAAAAAAGATGCTGACATTTATGCACACATAAAGCTGCGGCATCTAGCCCTCTGCTGGACTGACACGGTGCTGCTGGAGGCTTTTACACAGCTGTTTCTGAAAAGCAAATGTGCAAAAGATACTGACCACTATAATACACAATCTATATTTATCAGAGACAGCATTTAATTATGTGTGTGCATTATGGGTGTGTGAGAGTATTTAAATATAGTAGTGAGTAACAGCCAGTGCTGCTGTGAGTTTTATTTACTTGGACACACCTACAGCTTTTGGAAGATAAAATGAAACTTTAATGATCCCTGTAACCAAACTGGGTCACTGCGGCACAAGACAGTGTTGGAAACTGGGTATAAAAATGGAAACAATTCAGTCAATTTGGCACAACATTGTTGATTTCAGCTTGCGGAACATGATTGTGAACAATGAGATGTGTCGGATAACAGCAGGAGGACTTCCACAATGGAAATTTTAAAAAAACAAATACAAACAAATTGTAGAAGATATGACAATATGCAAATGATTACCTAGCCAAAAAATAAAAAATGCTGATTTGGACATATTAAGTCACAGAAAGTATAGAAAAGGTGCAGAGTGCTCGTCACGGTGAACGCTGGTGTGGAATGAGTGGAAATGTGCCTATATGGATTTTCCCACCTGTCTTTGACACAGTGACCTTTTGATGTTGCGTTTTTACAGTGTGGTCCAGTGTAGAGAGCGTGGATGGAGCGGGGGGTGCAGGGGGCGGCAGAGGGAGGGAGCTGTGCATACGCCATATATGGGCACACCACCGACTCTGCATCGCTATTGGCTGCGGGTCTTATGCAGCTGCTTGTCAACAAGATGGCCTTCCTCATCTCGCCGTTTTGACACTGATTATTTTGGTATCCCCGAGAACATACCGTAAAAGCTTGTGTCACTTCTAAATAGATAGTGGTCGAGCGGCTGTTGATATTCCTAACAAGGCCTACAGTCAGCTAGACTGTGTCCAGAGAGCTGACAAGCACGCCATCCTCGTTGGCTGCCACTACTAAGACAAGGTTGATAAATAGAAAGTAGCTGCTGGCTAATGACGACGTTAGCCTGCGAGTGAGCTAGCTTAGCTACGTGGACACGGATAGTTAACTCGTGTCACCTGCATTTGACCAGACAGACTGGTTGGAGCGAAATTCAGCGAGGAGACACTTGTCATCGACAGCCTGTTGGTTAAGAAGGTTGTCTGCTTCAGTTAAAACCACTGAGGTAAGCCAGCTGCCAAAATACAACGCTCGGGGTCTTTTTGTAAAAAAAAAATCGTAGCTTGCTAGCAAGCGCTGTCATGTTATTATGCAGGTAAGTTGTGCTATTCAGCTAGCAACCTTGGTAGCTACTAACCGACCTGTTTGCTATGTGCGACTACTGATTAATAATCTATATGAAGTATTCAAGTCTGTAGAAGATTTTTTAGGTTACCCTCGACGTTAGGTTATGTTAATTATTAAAGTGTTGGAAACTTGGCCAATAAGGTGATGGGAATTTTTACGTTACTATGCCGCTGTGTAAGCTAACTGTTTGCTACTTGCTCAGCCAGCTACTGGATTCCCAAAGACATTGAGATGATAACGAGCATCAAATGATTACAATAATAACAACAACAAATAAGAGTATTTGTTTCTGGATGGTGTTTTGTGATGCCACACTTGTTGGTTGAGAGTGTGGAGAGGTTGGCAGTATTTCAGCTAGTTTTCGGAGTTGTTTGGTTACCTTAAACACAACTAGGAAAGGTAAGGGATAACCTGCAGGCCTCCGAGAGCGAAGACTAAATACTCCGTGGCACAAATATCTAGATGTATGCACTGCGATAGAAAATAAAATAAACTTCTCTTTCGTATAATGTTGTTTGTTTATAAGCCCATATGAAGAAGTCTAAAGGAAATCTGTTTTTGTGACTGTAGCTTAATACTCTATTTTAAAAAGTCAATCTTACACGGAGTTCAGTTTGATGTGATTTTGTTTGCGAGTGTTTGATTTGCCCTCCTCCTTTCAGATGTTCAGTTGGATAACACTGTTGACACAGTGGCCTTTGTGATTGAATCAAAACTTGCATCACAGTCTAATTTGTGATGTTTCAGCACAAACGTGCAGACACACACAGACGCAGTGAGTCCTGCAGTCTACTCAGCCACACTCCCCAGGTGTCCAGACAGAAAGCCTGCTCTCACGTAATGTTCCTGGGCAGACTGCTGGAGCAGTGCGCTCTGCCCTATTGTTGTGTTGACAGTTTGCAGCAAAGCTGGCCTGCTGGCTGCTCGTCTGTTGCATTGTCTTCATGCAGGGAGGGAGATTGAGCTAAGGCTTTTTGGCATGCTTGGGTCCCATCATTCGTCAGCTTTTGCCCGTCTGGCTGAAATGCTGTGAAAAAGAGAGCGGGAGAGCTGGAGGGTGGTTGGAAGGAGTTTGAGTTACTCTCACTCAGTGTTATTCAGGCTGACTTCTTTGCAAAGATGGCTTTAGACCAGGAGCTGACAGTCTTAAAGGGAAAAACAGCAACAGCATCTTAAGTTAAATGCTTTGGTTCAGCATCTGCTAATCCGCCTCGTTAAACCTTAAATTAGAGTTTACAGGGATGTAGTACACTGTGTGTTCAGAACTGTGCTCACCTGGTGAGAGTGAAACTGCTCTTCATTTGTATAGGGAAATGAGTCCCTCCAGCAGAAATGGAGTTTTGATGTAAAAGGTCAAACCTTCAAATTTGTTCTAACAGCAGGATTTTGCGAGCAAATAAATACCTT